GGTTATCTAAACGGTTGAAAATGAAATAACATTGATTATTAGTGTTGAAAGGAATGGAACAGTTGGAGCTTCATGATGGTCAGCTCGCAGAAGTCAGCATCTTGGCAGCAAAGGGTTCACATCTAGGCGACGGTCCTGGAGGGTTTTGTTCACATCTAGGTGACGGTCCTGGAGGGTTTTGTTCACATCTAGGTGACGGTCCTGGAGGGTTTTGTTCACATCTAGGTGACGGTCCTGGAGGGTTTGGAGGCTTAGACATTAGCAGCATTCGTTGCTAGAGTAGGCTTCTGCGGCAATATGAAGGAGTTAGTAGTTCCTGATCGGAGGTGTTCACATCTCGATGTCCTAAAGCTAACTGACGCTGTTCTCCACGAGTAGAGGCGGTAAAGGGGGGGGGGACATGAGGAGACACATTTGGAGCAGATATAGTTTTATGTATTGTAAATCTTGCCCGGTCAACTTCGCTACACAGTAGTAATCGTTTTCATGTTTTCTTGAATTTGTTACAAGAGTGGTTATCAATTGAGACTGTGACAGTGGTTCTATGAAATATTATTTGAAAATAGATTACATGAATAAATATATAAGTAAATATATTATATATACAGGTTGCAAAAATTATCAAATTAAACATTAAAAATTAAAAATTATCCTTTATTCCACATTCCTTAATTATGGATCTTTCCAATCTTTTAATAAGCGTTTGATATTTTTTGGGAATGATGGCATCGTTCTTAGGAAATCTGTTCGTTTCCGTTAAAGAGTGTTCCTTCCCCAATAACGCCGCCCAGCCCTGTCTATGAATGGCATTTTGCATATATCTATAGTTTGCAGTGGGTTTATATATTTCTTAATATTACCTGTCCAACTATAGGCTTTATTCGGGATTTTATCTCATTAACACTGCAGCTTTGATCTGATCCTGCTGCAGATACAGATAACGGCATTAGTTTTTTTTCACTTCAGGGGATATTAGTTCCGAAACTAACACTTGGCCCATTTCTAACACTGAGTGTTAGAAATGGACCAAATCTGCAAGTGCAAAGTTATCTTTTTAAAGAGTATATATCTTAAAATCCAAGTCGAGTAGAACAAATTACACCATATATTTATAAGAAATGGCTAAAACTATATATTAAAACAATAAATGTTAATTTTAAACTAATAATAAGATGTGAGATTTAGTTTTTGATGAACCTTGATTTCCATTTTCGAACATATCCCTATTTTGAAACAATTAACGGATTTCAGCCATGTCGCGTTTTCAGAACATATCCTTGTTTTGAGACAATTACCAGATTTCAGCTCATGTCGCGTTTTCGGAACATATCATGGTTTTGAGACAATTACCGGATTTCAGCTCATCACGCACAGCTGACCCTTTAGTAAAAGTAATCTCATCCTAAAGTCTGAACGCGTCAACCTTGTTGCACCAGCTTGTCCTATTGAGTGTCTGCTTTATTTACCCAATGTCCGGGCAATACAGTACAAACTGGGACCGGAAGGCTTGACCCAGCTCGGAAATTCAAATGTACTACGGTTGCCCGTGTCATGTCGCGTTTTCGAAACATATCAGCTGGTTTTGAGACAATTACCGGAATTCATATCAATGTAAATTTTCAAGTTTATGAAACAAAACAAGATATTTTGATAAGGTAAAATATAAACAAAATAGGAAATAAAAACAAACTGTTCTTTTATAATTTAAAAATCATTACAGCATTTAGAAATCAAAATATTAATATCATTTGTTCTTACAACATCAAATCAAATCAAATCAAATATATATTTTTGTCCCAAGCATACATTACATATAGAAATAAAATATTTTTAAATCATATTTATTAAAACTTGAGACGGGGAGGCCTTGATAGCCAGGGTCTGTTTAACACGCAGCCTCCCACTGAATAGTCAGTTTTTGCAATGATGCTGACTTGAAGAGGTCATGCTGGATATCATGCTGCTCATTGGATGGAGGGAGCTGGAGCTACTGGAGAGGATACAGTTCGTAAACGTACAGGAATCCGTCAAGGAGAGGTCGGAGTTAAAGGGAGGAGCAAGAATTACAAAATAGTTTTTCACATTTCTAACACTCATTGTTAGAAATGGGCCAAGTGTTAGTTTTGGAACTAATGTCCCCAGTACTTTGTTCGTTCATCGTTGGTTAACAACCCATTTGGTCGTTCATTTGGTTCTTTCAGTCGTTCAGTAAAAATTTGAAGTTGTTTAATAGCTGCTTTTTCATTCAATTTCCTCCTATTTCGTTTGTTTATTAACTGTTCAGCAAAATTGTTAGTTCAGTAAAATCGTTTGTTCATTAGAATCGTTCTCTCAGCAAAATAGTCGTCGACACCATCGTTCACGAAACATTTTTTTCGTTTTGAAATCTTTTGTTTTGTAGCCTTTAGCCGCAGATTTCTTTATATTTTTACACCTTCTAACCAACTCTTTTCATTAAAGTAATTTTAAAAAAAAAACCTACTTCGGTTGTAGGTAGTGATGGAACTGAGAATCTGTGAAATTTAACAAATTCTAAAGTGGTTTATTATAAAAACTATACTCGTACTTGGTCCTTGGATTTGAAAAACTTTGAAACAGTCTAATCAAAACTCTTCAAAGTTCCTGATTTCCTTCTCGTCCGTACTGTAGAAATCCAAGACCACCACTTCTTGGAAACCTTTACACATGAAGAATCACAGAATACTATTTGTACAATCTTTTTCATTAAACATTCGAAGGGTTAATATTGGCCATTGTAAACAGAGTTCTATCTTAACTTCTTTATATCTATGAGACTGCTCACGGTAATCTTAATTTTTACAGATATTGTAATTAACATGTGAAAATTAAGTTAAGTGCGTTATTTCCAAAATCTATCAGCCTTCAGGGCTTCAACGGGTATCTGTGTTCAGAAATTATTTTAATCGAAAATTAAAAAGCTAATACAGGGATACAGAGACTTTAAGCACGACTGTACGGAATTTATACTGTATGTTTCCTTTAATTTAAAAACATGTTTTTTTTTTGGCAAATCATTAATAAGCCATTACAAGACCATGTTCAAGGCCGAAGACTTTATTATTCTCGGCTCGTCAGTTTTAGGTCGTCTTTTCTATATCATTATTTGTGGGTATTACTGTATTTACAGATGGATAGATAAACTACCTCTCGAGTGTTATAGTAAGCCAGCCAACAAAAATGGGAACTAAAACAAAAATGTCCGTTCACTTTTACAATTTTTTTTGTGCGAAAATCGTTTATATTTTGCGACATTTTTGCTAATCAACGAAAAATGCTAAAACAAACCGAAAATTTTCCTTCATTTTTGCGATTTTTTCTTGTGAAAATAGTTCATATTTGGCAAAAATTCATGCGAAATTCGTTAAATTTTTTGTTGAAAATCCTATGCTTTTGGAAAATAATTTAACAAACCAGTTTCAAGAAATTTGAACTTTAATTTCACGACCATTTTTTGACAAGTTTTTAAGAGATTTCGAGTTTTCGTTAATAATGTATGATTGGAGAATGATTTTAATAATATTTATGCATGAAAGTGCTCATAAGAACATATTACCCAAGATTCCCATCAAACTTGAACAATTAACTTTTAAGGCATTAACCAGAGACTCTAATAAACTTCAGGAAGTTTGAATCCAGAGAAAGAATTTTTTTGCGTTTATCCTTCCTCCGGGATAAAATTTGCCAAAATATAAGGATTAAGGAAAACAATGCATAGAAATGACTATTTTACAATAGAGATGGGCACATTTTACCTGTATAAAAAGATAGGCACGTTCGTAGTCTCTACTAGAGATGAGCACGTTCGACTTTTTTTCATTTCTTTCGTTCATCGTTCGTAAGTGACCCATTTCATTCGTTTATTTTCCAATCGTTCAAAAAATGATTGTTTTTTCAAAAAAAATTTCGGAAAAAGCGTTTGTTCAATAAAAACTATAGTTTTTTAAAAAGTTTGTTTCAAAAATTCGTTCTTTCTCTTTGTGGCAGTGGCTCATATACATTTACAGGATTACACTCGCCACAGAGGATGAGATTTCACGGATGACATTTGTTCGAATTTTTGCAATTGCAACAAATTTTAAGACTGAATGGACTTTCTAATGTCATAATACCCTGTTCTTTGATTTTTTCCTTACCAACCCCCTCATTTTTTGTAGCCCTAGGAATGTTTATTTCAGAGCTATATAGCTGTTATAGCTAAGTTTTTAATAGTAAATTCTGTTTTATTTTTTGCTAGAAAGCTTGCAAACCTTTCAAGTTAAACTAAAGTAAATTGAAAGTAGAGTTGAATTTTTTCATGTTTTCAATCATAACTCCTCTTTTAGAAAAACTATAGAGAAGAATAAAAAAGGTTGAAATTCTAATATTTATACCGGATATATTCTAATATTTTATACCGGATATATTCTAATATTTATACCGGATATATTCTAATATTTATATTGATACCGGATATATTCTAATATTTATACCGGTTATTTTTTAATATTTATACCGGATATATTCTAATATTTATACTGGATATTTTTTAATACTTATACCGAATATATTCTAATATGTATACCGGATATATTCTAATATTTATACCGGATATATTCTAATATTTATACCGGATATATTCTAATATTTATACCGGATATATTCTAATATTTACACCGGATATATTCTAATATTTACTTTTCGTTCCCACAAACTTGTACTAGTAATGTCACAAGTCTTCTGCACAGTGTTTGGATCACTGTTATTCAGCAGAAATGAACTTGCATAAAGGAGTTGAATTTTTGCCACAAACTCTGATTTTCTAATCTCTATATCTTTGTAACCCAATGCCGTAGACCTTAGATATTTCAAACTAGTTATACTTATAGATAAAATAATTTAAGTTTGAAATATCAAAGGTTTACACCATTAGGTTGCAAAGATAATGGAGTCAGACGATTTTAGTTTGTGGCAAAAACTCAATTCCTTTAAATATTTTTTAAAGAAATAATGGCAAAACTATGTCTGAACTCTTTGAACTGTTCTCACTCATTACTCAATGTGAGGTAAAGAAATTATTTTACACTAAAACTCTGTAATTGTTGGAACCTGCACTATGCATTACATTACAGGGTGACTAAGAAAATGGCTTATTATGGTCTTGAAGCATTTTTTTATGTTGAACTCCCTGACTGAAAGGGGTTCTTGTTTTTCACTTTTTTCATCCGATGCAATTTGCTGTGTAGTTGTATAACGATAAGGAAAAAATATACACTTCTAAACCAGGAAAGGAGAATAATACACAAAGAAAAAATTCATATTGATTTCTTCGATATTTACTGCTGGCTGTTTGAACACAATTGTCAAAGAAAATTACTGGCGTTTCATAAAGAATTGGTCCTAGCTATATTACTGCTTTTCTTTACATTGCTCTAGCTCAGAGCCAGAAATTTTAAAGATTAAAGTTTAACGAAACTCTCGAGTTTCCTTTTGGGTTATATACACTGGAATACATTTAAATAAAGATACACAAAAATAAAAAATAATATAAAATTAATCATGTAAATAATAATTCTGAAAAAAAAGATCTACAAAATTGCCTGACAACATTTATTAGACCAATTCCGATACCGGGTTTCATAACGATAACCTGTGGGGGGGGGAGGGGTGCCTAATACGTTTAAGGATTAGTGTTAATAATAGTTGTGAATTTCTTTACAAGATAAATCACCATGTACCCTGAGTAAAAGGATTTCTCACCTAAGCCACCCTCCTGTATTAATATGAATAGATTATGGAAGCTAAACCACCAATCTTATAAATAAAGATATTTCCCGGGGGTGATTCTCAGAGCTGGAGTCTTTGTCATAAATATTTACAGACTATAAATATTATAATAGGACATGGAGTAATGGTTTCAATAATTACTTTTAAATTCAAATAAATGTCTTTATCCTACAAATCTTAAAAGGACTGTTAGCTAAATTTCAAGTGACCCTCCATGTGCAAAGATGGCAGAAATCCGCAAACCATTTTTGTAAGAAACCACAATTTAAAAAAATCAATCGCCGAAGTTAAAAACAAAGATATCTTCTTCACTCTTGATTATGAAAAGGTATTGTGGGTAACATTGTGTATCGGACCTTTCACTTGTATTAAAAATAGAGTCACTTGAATTCATGTCTAAACAGTCCTTTTACAAATATCATATTTTCATATTTGATTTGATTGTTTATATAGTGAGGATATTGAGGTTGAAGTGGAGGATGGAGGAGCTTATAACTTTAATCATAGAGTTCCAATCCTAGCAGGTACAGTGCGTGCACTGTCTTACGCACAAATCGAGAAGTATTTTGCCAACTACTTCTTTTAAGCCTTTTCTCCATGGGTACCTGTTTTTTAGGGAAACCACGCTATATCTACTTTTCATAATTCATTAATTCCAAACTCAATGCTAATGAATAACAGGAAACCTTCAAAGCCCAAAGGGACTGTTGTTGTCATTTCAAGTGACCTTCCACATTATCCTTCCGATTCACATCTGTACCCTTTAAACCTTATCTGATCGATAATATGGAATATATCTTTGGTTTTCTAGTTTAAAAAGTAATTAATTCAAATGATTTCCTCCCATTGTGTCTGGAAAAATACATAAATGCGTGGGTCCCTATTGTAGAGAATCCACCGATGAAAATAATGATTTTTCTTAATAAAATAAAGATTCAAGGCTACATTGTGATTTATAAATTACCACTCCACAAATCTAGAGTTATTTGAATTTATAACTCCTTCAGTCCTTTAAATATTATGGAAAATCAGAGATCAGGACTTTTGTGAGGATATTTATGATCTTAAATGCTTGATCTTAATATCCAATGTGGACATTTTAAATCAAACGCTAGATCCTTCAATTCAAGTTATCCCTGCAGGGTAAGATAATCAGTAATCACCAGATGTCAAAGAGATATAATGTTAATCCGTTGATCTGAAATGAAGATCAGTGTTTGATATCGAGAGTCACAACTAAAAAAGTTTGACTACAGTTTATAAAACACGAGCTAGGAAACCCGGGGAAGTCATAATTATTCCCGCCGTTCACCCGCACTTTGTCAAAAATTACGATTTTAACTATTTTTCCCAATTAAAGTGGACCCTTAAAATTTAGAATCTCAAAACCAAACTAAGAAAATTCCCGTGGCTTTCCTGAGTTCTCCAATCAAAATTTTAGGCAAATTGGCCTTAAAGGACTCCTGAGATATTATCGGACAAACATACAGACAGACAAACAGAGATCACAACTTTTCATATATAGCTAAATGCTCGAAGGTGCTGTTTAGGTCTAGTTGTCATATCTCTCCTTGGGAACACTGCAGCTCTTTGTAAACTATTCTTCGGAACAGAAAACACACAGGAATTCGAGAATATATTTTACAAGAAACCCCGTCTTAATGAAGACCCTATCCGTACAATATCATCAGAGACAATAATATTGTTTTAACTTTAAGAATTAGTGTTAGTTTAATAATATACGGATAGGCTATTCAGCTTCTCCCATTCTATTATCTGTTTCTATTATTTTTCGTTCTACATTTCTAGCTTTTTTGCAGAGAAACTGAGTTTAAGATTTATTCCTTCATTTGCTCCCTCTCGGAGTTTCATATACTTCTACTTTTTGATATGATCTGCCCCCCCCCCCAGGAGAAAAAAATATAATAACTATTAGATTCCATACAGTGCAGTGCTCGGCGGTAACATCAATACTATGAAGACAGCTTTTCTATTCAAGTATTGATTTCTGACAAGCTTACCTTTAAATTACAAGTTTACAAGTAAACAAAGAGAAACTACTAATTGACAGCTTGTTTTGTTTCCATTCTGTTTGAAAGCATTGAAGAAATCAGAAATTGAAATCGAATTATTCGTCTTCATTGTATTGATATAAACAACAACGACTGTATGAATTTAAAAGCAATGCAATTAACCATATGATTTTAAGCGTACAAATTAAGTAAAAACATGTGTGAACTCCAGAAAACCGGGGAGGGGGGGAGGAACTCTTTCATTTAGAAACTAAGTTCTTTAAAGTTCCCCCTAAGGCTAAAAATTCAGAAAAAATTTCCAATTTTGAGCGAATTGAATTTAACTATGTATTTGACTCCTAAATCTCAAATAAGTTTCAAAATGAATGCTGCAAAAAATTTAACCTTTAAGAATTTTTCATTAAAATAGGTATTCATTAAAAAATATAATTTGTGTATTCATGTAAAAATAAAAATTTAAAGGAAGAAATATTCTTTAAAGGGAGGAAGGTTATGGCAAAGAAAAGGATCACTAGGGACCGATTTTCTCAATTATTAAAAAAAAAATTTTCGTTATTTTTATCTGATAAAATGATGGTTAACATTGTTATAAACAAGCGGTATTTCTCATAATATCCCGTTTAGCTGTTGAAGCCTTCTGTTTACAACACATTCAAGTGAAATATACTGTTTGGCGCATTTTCCAAATGGGTTTTCATTTGTTTTTATTTTATTGCTAAATTAATTTACATTCCAGATGTCTACAATATAACAATTCTCCAAATGACTAAAACGCTAAAAGTACATTAATAATTTTACCTCATAATTACATAATTATCATCAGTTTTGCAAATATATTAATTTAAAATTTACAAAATTCATTATTTTTACTTTCTAAATTCTTTTTTACTTTTTGTCCCATGCACATTTAAATTTTTAAAAGATAAGTGGGCTATCATGTATATAAGCATGTTTACGAACATCTCTAAAAATTCTCAACAAAAAAATGAATAACATCAATCAGAAAATTGAGAATAATAATCTTTTTAAAGTCTTTCTAAATCTGATAATAGCCGACTTACTCGTCACAGCATTCCCAATGGCAGGTAACTAAACAAGAACCCAAGGACAGGAAACTAATTGAGAAGTATTCTCAATGGCAGTTAATTAAACAAGAAATATTCCCAATGTTAAGTAAATAAACGAGAAATATTCCCAAAGTCAGGTAACTAAACAAGAAATATTCCAAATTTTAGGTAACTAAACAAGAAATATTCCAAATTTTAGGTAACTAAGTGAGAAATATTCTCAATGGCAGGAAAATAAACAAGAAATATTCCCAATGTCAGGTAACTAAACGAGAAATATTCCCAATGGCAGGTAGCTAACTAAACAAGAAATATTCCCAATGTCAGGTAACTAAACGAGAAATATTCTCAATGGTAGGTAACTAAACGAGAAATATTCCCAATGGCAGGTAACTAACTAAACTAGAAATATTCTCAATGGCAGGTAACTAACTAAACAAGAAATATTCACAATGGCAGGTAACTAACTAAACAAGAAATATTCCCAATGGCAGACTAAACTAGAAATATTCTCAATGGCAGGTAACTAAACGAGAAATATTCTCAATGACAGGTAACTAAACGAGAAATTTTCCCAATGGCAGGTAACTAACTAAACAAGAAATATTCCCAATGGCAGGTAACTAAACGAGAAATATTTCCAATGGTGGGTAACTAAACAAGAAATATTTCCAATGGTGGGTAACTAAACAAGAAATATTTCCAATGGTGGGTAACTAAACGAGAAATATTTCCAATGGTGGGTAACTAAACGAGAAATATTTCCAATGGTGGGTAAATAAACGAGAAATATTTCCAATGGTGGGTAACTAAACAAGAAATATTTCCAATGGCAGGTAACTAAACAAGAAATTTTTCCAATGGTGGGTAACTAAACGAGAAATATTCCCAATGTCAGGTAACTAAAAAAAAAATATTCCCAATGTCAGGTAACTAAGTGAGAAATATTCCTAATGGCAGGAAAATAAACAATAAATTTTCCCAATGTCAGGTAACTAAACGAGAAATATTCCCAATGGCAGGTAACTAACTAAGCAAGAAATATTCTCAATGGCAGGTAACTAACTAAACAAGAAATATTCCCAATGGCAGGTAACTAATCCCGTAAATAAAAGCTTTAAATTGTAAAAAAGAATAAATATATTTTCCGTTGTAGACAAGCAAAAGAAGGAAATATATTTATGCATGTTAAACAATCCTAAGTAGAAATTGTATCTTAAGTTGTACGACTTTTTTATGATTTACAAAATATTTTTCCTAGTCTCATAAAAGAAGTCTTTTGTTTTATCCTTGAAATGAAATTCTGTGTGAAAACTCAGCGTTTATACATTTTTTAATTATTTATGCTTTCAGTGCGCTTCGCGTCATATTCTATTTCAATTATAAACATTTACTCTTTGTATACATTGTAAAACAGTAACAAAAAAAGCTCGCGGATTTTTTAAAAGAAAGGAATTGAGTCTTTGCCACAAACTCTGATTTTCTTATCCCAATATCTTTGAAACCCAATCTAATAAGTTTAAAATATCAAAGGTTTACTTTACACCTTTGGGTTGCAAATATATAAAGATTAGAAAATTTGAGCCTGTAGCAAAAACTCAATTCCTTTCCTGGATTTTCAGAATTTAATGAAAATCGAGTTTTGTTGGAGGCTAATTTGTTAAATTTTGATCATGCATAAACCTTCCCTGGGGTCATGTGAGGCCCCACAGACAATGTGAAATTGTAGGATTTCCAACGCAAGTGGATTTTACTTCCGCGCAAATGCGGGCCCTAAAATTTACGCGCAATTCCGCACAATACAAGAACAACTGCGCGCAATTTCGCACAATTCAAGAACAACTGCGCGCAATTCCGCACAAAAGAATTCCGATTGGAAACCCTAGAAATGAGTGAATGAATCATACATCCGCCTAAGATACATTGAGGTTAATCTAATCTAACCAAAACCTTTTCAAAGGGAACTTAATTGAATTAATTTTCCTATCAATCTTCATCTTTTACCATTTTGTTAATTGTAAACTAAAAAATAAATATTCACAACTACTTTAAAGAGAAAAGTTAAGTGAATTTTACATAACCAAGGGTTCCCATGACCAATTTTGCCAATAAGACTTCCAAAGCGCAGTGAGGGATTTTTAGTAAACAAAACTGGTCGAGGGAACCCGTGGTTAAGTAAAATTTAAATTTACCGAAAAAAGTAGTTGTAAATACATTTATCATCTTTTGAGATGAAAATGCGCGGTTTTTTCTCTCGAAAACTTCACTCAGCGGCTAGCTATTTACATAACTGTCCCAAGGGACGTTTAGTAACTTAACCTCCCTCTGTTAGGAGAATCATAGGTAGGAAATGGTGGTCAAAAGTCTGTTAAAAATAAGGCACATCCCAAACCATGATCTACTGAATCTAAAATACTTTAAAATAAAAAAGTTTTATATCAGGTCGAAAAGATATACATAAAGTTTAAACTACAAGCATTTTGAGAGATCTCACTGTATAGAATTAAAAAGTTTTTCTTTAACCAATTAGAATCGAATATCAATGCATATCCAGTAAATTTATAAGAGAAATCAAATTCTCACAGATTACTCGCTAGGTTTAACCATAGATTAATTAAGATAACAAATAGGACACTAGATGTCGTCTTTTAAAGATTTATGTGTGTTTCGTACACAATAACCCTGAGGCAGAAGCCGAAAGGAGTTAAGCGTAGTCGGCGTAGAACAGGCTCTCTCTCTGTAGAATTACACAACAGAAATAGAACCTGCTATATTTACATTTACAGTTTGGCTTCTGCCTCAGGGGTATTGTGAACGAAACACACTTAAATCTTTAAAAGACGACAGAGTGTTCTATCTGTTATTTTAATTAATATTCGATAGTTCGTACAAAACATTAGGAATTCTTTTAGTTACATTTCACATTGTTTATATTTATTCTCAGGCCAGTGTTTATGGGAGGCCACAGGCTGGATCGGAGGAAACGCGTACTGCAAATTTCTCAAGGTAAAAAGCTGGTTTATGAAGGACGAATTAATAGGTTTAAAGTGATTTGAAGGTTTTTAAAATCATTTAAAACCATCTAATCAACTTAAACCTATCAATCTTCAATCACGTGGAACCTAAAAATGACCTGTAATTTATGGATATTGAGGATGTGAATCTAAATAATCAAATAATCAAATTTTGCATTTTAATGCATATTTATGATGAGGGGTAGGAAATGCTTCTTTTAAACTTAATAATTGTAAACCTAAAATAATACTTCTAATGTAAACCTAAAATGATACTTCTAATGTAAACCTAAAATGATACTTCTAATGTAAACCTAAAATGATACTTCTAATGTAAACCTATTTGTCATATATTATAATTGTAACATAATTTTCTTTTTTTGGTTCGCATTTTGGTACATAGTATGAAGTCAATTTAACCCTATTCCGACTAGGGCTGAACACGTCCCAACTTTTTCTTGCCGTTTTGTTAACGGTTTGTTCAACCGTTAAAACAGAGAAATTAACAGCGCGAAGCTCCAAAATGTTGTTTGTAATGGTTAAAGAAATTGTTAACTGTTAACGGTCTATTTCAGTATTAACGGCACTAAGCGCCAAAATAAATTTGTTAAGGGATATGAAATTGTTAACAATGCAGCCGTTAACGGTCTTTTGTAGTATGAACGGCTGTAATGGTTTGTCAAATCCTTAACGGCACTATAAGTTGAATTATATTTATCATTTTCTGCCGAACGAGTATAAATATCTGATATCCAAATCAACAATATTTAGACTATTCTGAGGAGAACCCAGATTCTTTCACGACTGGACAAACTTCAAATTTTTTTTATCAAAATTTCAAAGGTTGCCATTTAAGGATGTTAACACATAAGACGACATTTAAATACATCAAGTACAAGTTTAATTCAATTTTAAGCAGAAAAGAAACGAAATTCACCATTTAAAAGAAAAAATATGTTCCGTTTTCGTTTTCGAAAAGTAGGAATATGGTTAACTTAAAATATGCCTCTTCCGAATTATAAGAGAAATTGATACAGGGTGTCCCAAAAAACATGGGAATTCAGTGACGAATTCGATGTCGTCTTTTTTAAGGCTTAGTATTGTAATACCTGATGTAAAGACATATTATGTAATTTCGTCTGCTAGAGTATATTTTACGTAAANAATAATTATTTATTTCTTTAAAATTTCTGCAGTATGAACAGTGTACTTTATTTTTACTCGAAATCTTCTAATTTTATTCATTACATTCGTAATGAACCAAAACATAAACAAACAACAATATTTAAACTCTAGCAGACGAAAAATTCACCGGGATGACAGCTTTCATATAAGTAGGTATCGCTATACTAAATCATAAATCTTATACAAAGCCGACTTCGAATTCGTCACTGAATTCCCATGTTTTTTGGGACACCCTGTAGAAACCAAAGCTGCACTTAAAATGTATCAGTATTTTTTTATATAAACGATTTTTGTTTTTTGCTAACCTAGGGCAATATTTTTCAAGGCAGTATACATAAAGTGTGTACACCAACGAGGTTATAGTGTATAGAGTGATGATGTACGCTACTCCTTTACTAATTTTACAGGCCATAAACTATACCGAGAGCGTATTGCATATTTGTTTATTATAAGTTGATTCCGGCCTAACCTATAGTATATCAATATAAGTAACAGTTGTAAGTGTACAGTACAGCTATAAACTGAGCACACAGGTAGAGAACTATCATCCCCCCTGGTGTACACATTTGATTGAGAAGTATTTCAAGCTAAATTAAAGTAAATTGTACGAAAGATTTAAATCTTATATGTTCTCAACCATAATAATGTGTATGTTGTACCGGCCGGTAAATCCTTGTACCGTAGTTCAGGCAGCGTTTTGTCCAATGTAAACTAGGAATTAATCAAAACATATACAAAGGTCGGAGCTTCAATGGGCAGGGTAGGAAGGCTGGGATTGTTGTTGTTTATTGAACTGAAACCAGTTACTGAGCACTACAAAGGTCGGAGCTTCAATGGGCAGGGTAGGAAGGCTGGGATTGTTGTTGTTTATTGAACTTAAACCAGTTACTGAGCACTACAGTATTGGGCAGGGTAGGAAGGCTGGGATTGTTGTTGTTTATTGAACTGAAACCAGTTACTGAGCACTACAGTATTGGGCAGGGTAGGAAGGCTGGGATTGTTGTTGTTTATTGAACTGAAACCAGTTACTGAGCACTACAAGTATTTCATATTAAAATGTACACAATCCCTATCCCTCATACCATTTGTATACATAGCTAATCATTTTCTATTTATTTTTAATTTATGTTTTTGAATCAGTTCATGCAAACCTTCTCGCTGACCTTGTCTAACTATATGCTGGTCACCATTGCTATTGAAAGACATAGAGCAGTTACTAACCCTCTACAACACTTAGGGGCTTCTTACAGGTAACTTAAAGGATCATGTTTACGAAAAACAAATCTTCGTTTTCCTTTTTCGAGAATAATAATTGGAATTCTAACATTATTAACAATTATAAGAAAATTTTTCGGTGTAAGATTTAAATAATGATATTTTTACTTTATCATTACTTGTGTAAAATATGAAATAATTAGTTTGGTGTTTCTTTTCACCATGAAATGTCGCAAAGATCAAAAAATGCATAATTGAATCATCCAGAAAATTGAGCCTCAAAACTTTTGTGTGAAATAGTGTTAATGTTTACAACGCTTGATCTTGATATCCACGGTGGCAACTTTAATTATATTTGAGTTATCCCTGCAGGGTAAACCAACAAGGGGTATCTTAGATTTATTAGTTTATATCTAGGACTTCAGAAGTCTACGAATACTGATTGTTGATCCAGACCCGGAAATTTAAGAGAGATATCGTTAAACAAAGCTCCTGACTTTCTCTTTTGAGTTCACACATTTTCGTAGATTTTAATTTAAGAAATCTGAAAACAAAAAGAGAATGCAAAGAAACCAGATAAAATAGTATTTTTTAACATAAATGTCGGTATCTACTAAACTGTCATGACCCCAATTATAAAACCGGGATTCCGATACTGGGGTCCATTACGATACTCTGTCTTAAGTTTCAGGCTCAGCACAACACAAAAGTTTTGAGCTCAGTACATCTAGAAATCAGAATATAATCATTTAACTATTTTATGGTTCTCAGTTCTTCTTGATTAAAATATATTATGTTAGAATGCTGATTATAACATGGTCTTTTTCTGCTCTTACTGTAACAGTGGGCGAGTTTTGTTGATCTTTTACGATCAGCAATTCAAGGATGTTTTGGATCGCTGAGATCATAGCTACCAAGGGGAATCATGTGAATATTTGAGAAACTCAGTGCATTGCTTTATTGATTTTTATTCATATACTATATTACATCTTTCCCATCGATCTTTATCTTCGGGATCAATCAATCACAGGTTAGATCTCTTTCTATCGATTCTCATTACGATCCTTGCATAGTATGATCCCTGCACAGTACGATCCCTGCACAGTACGATCCTTAAACAGTAAGATCTCTCCATGGTAAGATCCTTAAACAGTAAGATCCCTGCCTATAGTAAATGATCCCTGCATAGGTCGATCCCTAGATTTTTTCCGGAAACTTTTTTTCCAAGGACTTTTTTGGCGGTTACCGAATTGAAGGTATCCCATGTTTTATACATTCAACTGTTATTCGAATGGAGACATGTCATATTTAAGTTCGTCAACGAAATTGAATCTTTGCCACAAACTCTGATTTTCTACTACGCACAAATAAAGTTCAGTTGCCATCAACGTAGAATTTGTACACTCTCAGTACAGCTATATTTTGTCATCACAATTGTGTCATATAGTTTTTGCTTCCGACAAAATTAAAAATGATAGTGATAATTTTAGATTAAAGTGCTTATCTTATAATAAAAGAAATGCGATTTAAAGTGTTCTTTATTTTCTGTTTTTACACTTTTTTATTTAATCTTGGAAAGCATGTCAACTAATTTGAGAAAATTTCGTTTTCCTTGTTATATTTGACACTTGTGACGCGTGTATAATTGGTCCAATTACAGAATAATTGTGTGAGCGGAATAGATGAATGGCACCCTACTCTCAGAAAGGAAAATATTCTTGAATTAAGAGAAATAAAATGATTAAAGGGACTGTCACCGTTATTTAGTATGACCCCTAGATACATTAGTTTAACTAGGGTTGACCTTGACCCTAATGTGAAAGATTTATTGACAATTACAATTTTTTTTCTCTCAAAAAAAACTAGCTCACTAATTTTGAATAAAAAAAATAAATGAAGAATTATTATTTTATGGCAGACCTACTTCAGCACAGTTGGTGCTGTCGTCTTCCTGGTTCCTCTTTTCATACTTATAGTTCTCTACAGGTACAAGAGGGAGGGAGGGCAAAATGTACAGGTACAAGAGGGAGGGAGGGCAAAATGTACAGGTGCAAGAGGGAGGGCTACATCTACAGGCAAAAGAGGGAAAATGGGCAGCATCTAAAGGCAGGAAGGTAAACATTGAAGGTACAAGAGGAGAAGATGGCAACATCTAAAAGTACAAGAGGAAGGATGGGCAACATCTAAAGGTACAACAGGGATGGAGGGCATTATCTACAAATAAAAATGGGAGGAAGGGCAACATACAGGGTGTCCCACGAAACATGACAGTATGCAGGACGACTTGAATGTCGTCTTGATTTTTTATATAATTTGCTGCTTTTATTTTTTAACCTAATTTTAGAAGTAAATTTCTAGAGATAATAATCACAAAATTTCCCCTTGTCCTGCCATTTCCAAAATGTGGTCTGCCTTTTTTGTGCTTCCAATATTGCCCGAGATATGAAGAATTTCGTTCAGATTTCGACAATTTTGCTTTTATTTAACAAAATTGAAATCTGAACCAAACTCTTTATATCTCCAGTAATATTGAAAGCACAAAAAACGCAGACCACTTTTTGGAAATGCCAGGGCTAGGAGAATTATGTGATAGTTGTTTCAAGAATCATACATGTTAAAGTAGATAGAAGACTAAATGTCACAAATAAATTCAAATACCAAAGACGACTTTCAAGTCGTCTTCCTATTGTCATGTTTCGTGGGACACCCTGTATAAAGGTACAAAAGGGAGAGAGGGAAACATCTACAGGTGCAAACGGGGGAGGGGGGGGGGAAGGCAACTTCTACAGGTAAAATAATTAATACTTCAGAGAAGGCTCATAAAAATATTATTTTATGTTTTGTGTTTGACCCTTCCTTGTTCTAGTCATATTTTGTACTGTCTGAAAGTTGAGGCAACCCGTCGACATCTTCTCAACAGCGCAGCAAGCCAGGTCTGTAAACTTTATTCACATTCAAAAGTTCATAACCCTAAAAGTGTGGAGGCACTAAGTCGATCCAATTCTGCTCTAAAATTTTTTTTATCAATTTTCAAGATAAGGTCGACTTTAAAGTGTTTCAACACCATGGCCTTTTTTTGCCACCCTAACTCACTTACATTGCCACCATAAAGCATTGTTTTTCAGCGGAGGATTTAGATAAGTAATTTACAAAATACTGAACAATTTTTGCACGAGGACTTGCCACATTTGGATTACTGTGTAGGGGGTTAAAATATATTAAAAATACGTCTAAAAGGTGCAAAATTATTAAAAATGTGATTTTTGTTTGACAAATATTAAGATTTTGATAATATTTCCAACTCTATTTAAGTAGATTTTCAAGAATGTTAGAAAATATCTAGACTGTATGTGATGAAAAGGCGTGGATTGAATAATTTTTATTTGTTAAATTGAAGAAAGATTTTACAGTCACTTTATTAATAGTTTCCATATAAGATTTTGAGAAAATTTCAGGGGGTGAAAAGAAGGGAAAGGATTATAATTATATTCGATATTGATGGGCGATGGCTACCAAAAGCAAATTCTATCTGATGTGTCTGTAATGAGAAATCCAGTGAATCCTGTAGTTGAAGTTTCAATATAAAACACTCCTTAAAAGACAATAGTGAACAGTTCCTTGAAGAAAATAGTAAGCACTCCCGAGCATTTGAAGAAAAAAATAAACACTCCCTTGAAGAAAGTAATAAAAACTCCCTTTAAGAAAATAATAAAAACTCACTTGAAGAAAATAGTAAACATTCCCTTGAAAAAATAGTAAACACTCCCTTGAAGAAAATAGTAAGCACTCCCGAGCATTTAAAGTAAATAGTAAACACTCCCTTGAATAAAATAATAAAAACTCCATTGAAGAAAATAGTTAACACTCCCTTGAAGAAACTTTCTTGAAATCAATAAAGGAAACTTGGACATTGAATTTATTCCTTGAAACTACTAATTTGGACACCCTCAGTCCACCATCTTGACATGATCTGACAGTTTGGAAAACCTTTAAGTAAATCTTTTTTGTTATTTTGGTTTTTGCCGCAATTTCTGAGGCCTTTATCTTTGTAATCTAGTGGTGTACACCTCTAACATGTTAAAAACTAGACGATTTGATTTAGCAGAATAGGTTAATTTATAGTTTAATAACAGAATTATGGGTCCATTATTGAAAAAATCTACAGTCCATCCTAATTCAACCCCTCCAGTCCTTAAATCCATACTATTATATTAAAAAATAAGTTTAAAAATGACCAAAATTACATTTATATTCAACAATCAAATTATTCCTTTCTGGTTTAAATTTTCTAAAGTTCTTTAAAAATTGAGTTTATTCCGAGTTTTTCTTATGGTGAATATAATTTGCTCTCATTGTGCATCCTCTCTGTATTGGAATTGTTTCAGTCATTTTTTTAAACTCTTATTTTAAATCCGTCAAAAAAAGTATAAAGAGGCTTTATGTACTTAAATATTTTAAATACATATATAGCCCGGCAAATTAAAAGCAGTTAATACAATAAATCTTCATTTAATCTGCGAAAATGCAACTTCTAAAGTTAAGACTGAACTTTTAATTTTAATCGGGACCTTTAGTTTATCTTGCCTTTTTGGACTGGTATATATTTCTTGGTTATATTATTAGTTTTATTTTCACCGTTCATCAATTTTAAAGATATTAACATTCATTCCAAACTAAAACGATAACGATATATGCACAAAGTAATAAGTTGCTCAAGTTTCTAAAATTTTTAAAAAGCCTGTAAAAAAAATTAACAATTTTTGACAGGCTTTCACTCTTTAAAATGTAGTCTGCTGTTTGTGTAACTTTAGGAATAGCTTAATTATATAATTCATAAATCAGAGACAAAACTTTTGGGTTTTTTATTTTCTTTAAAGTATAATAACTAAGCAGTTATGGATGGTAGAATAATTGATATGGGTCATCAAGCAGAATCGAATGTCTCTATTTTTTTCTATTTTTTCAATTTTTTCTTGAAAAAAAGTGATTTTCTTAAGAAATCTTAATAAAATGATGTTTGACATCAAGGGAAACCCTACTAGTAATCCCAAATTGTTTAATCTTGATAATTGAACTACATAAAGACAATAAGAGAAACTTTATGTTTTTTAGAATATTGAGAGAACTGAAGAAAATATGCAGGATAAACCTATCCCTCCTTACCCGACCACTAGGTAGGATAAACCTATCCCTCCTTACCCGACCTTTAGGTAGAATAAATCTATCCCTCGCTACCCGACCACTATGTCAATTTCTCGTTCGAGCCACATTCTTCTCATTTTCTCGTCTGAGTCATCCTCAAAATCTCTCCTTTTCCTTATTATATTTATCAAAGTTACTAATTTTTATAATGGTATAACCAAAGACATAGCTAATTAACAAAGTCTTTTTACCCGACCACTAGGTAGGATAAACCTATCCCTCGCTACCCGACCACTAGGTAGGATAAATATATCCCTCCCTACCCGACCACTAGGTAGGATAAATCTATCCCTCGTTACCCGACCAGTAGGTAGGATAAATCTATCCCTCGTTACCCGACCACTAGGTAAGATAAATCTATCCCTCGTTACCCGACCACTAGGTAGGATAAACCTATCCCTCGTTACCCGACCACTAGGTAGGATAAATCTATCCCTCGTTACCCGACCACTAGGTAAGATAAACTTATCCCTCGCTACCCGACCACTAGGTAAGATAAATCTATTGCTCGCTACCCGACAACTAGGTAGGATAAACCTATCCCTCGTTACCCGACCACTAGGTAAGATAAACCTATCCCTCGCTACCCGACCACTAGGTAAGATAAATCTATTGCTCGCTAACCGACAACTAGGTAGGATAAATCTATCCCTCGTTACCCGACCACTAGGTAGGATAAACCTATCCCTCGCTACCCGACCACTAGGTAGGATAAACCTATCCCTTGCTACCCGACCACCAGGTAGGATAAACCTATCCCTCCTTACCCGACCACCAGGTAGGATAAACCTATCCTTTGTTACCCGACCTGTAGGTAGAATAAATCTATCCCTCGCTACCCGACCACTATGTAGGTTTGTTAGGTTTTCATCTACAGGGGAGGAAGGTCAGCCACAACAATTTCTCGTTCGAGCCACATTCTTCTCATTTTCTCGTCTGAGTCATCCTCAAAATCTCTCCTTTTCCTTATTATATTTATCAAAGTGACTAATTCTTATAATGGTATAACCAAAGACATAGCTAATTAACAAAGTCTTTGGGTATAACTATTTCTAAAAAATCTGGCCACGTTAGGGCATACAATATGGTGATGCTAAAGTAATACAATTGTTACATAATGTCGGAATCGTCGATTCACGAGATTGATGTCAAACTTTATTTAGGTGAACATGAAATCTCTTCTGTCTACGTAATGGCTCACCTAAGATTGGAATAATTCGCGGAATTCAATACTAGGAAATGCGTGTAAAAAATTCAATCCTATTTTTTCGATTTACAAAAATTCAATTTCTTTTTATGCACTAACATTGCCTGATTTAAAAAAAAAACTTTAAGAATTAGACTTTTAAGCAATTAATTTTGGAAAGACAAGGATTTTGAGGTGGCTCAGTCAGAAAAAATGGGGAGAATGTGGCTCATACAAGAAATTATAACCTTCCTTCCGTTCTTGATCTCAGTAAATGTTAAGATCATCTCCTAGAACTTGTCAAACTTTAAACCTTGTCTAAAAAATATAAATCAAACTTTTTTTAAACCATATGTAGTTTTGGCAATGATTTTTGCAGAAATATTCTATAGAGGTGATGCCCATGGTTAGTTAGAGGGTTCAATTGCTAGATCATGAATCCAATTTTCTAACTGTATCCATAGAATTATGCTCAGTGGTGGCTCTAAAAGGCCTTACTCTTTGTCTCAACGGTTTTGCGCCAGGCAATAACTCTATGTTAAACTTGTCCCATGGTTGTGTTGCCTCATAGTCATTGGTGAACACGTCTGGGTACTCTTTTATCATGCAGTATAATTTCTTTTTTAATTCAAGAACCTTTCAGAGAACTACCTTATTTTCTAACATAACATAGCTGGTCTGTTACCATTTTGTTTTTATTTTCAGTTTTGACTGCATTAATTAAGGATTTATCTTTTTTTTCAACCGTACACATAGAACCATGAGCTATAATTTCTCCCGGGGTTATAATAATGTTGTTTTTGGAAAGATTTGTATATAAAATGGTTACATACTTAGCTTTTGCTTGTGTCTTGTGTCTGTACACTCCTGTCACTGCTCCAGTTAGGTCAGACTCATTTACAGAACACACGGCCAGATTTGCTGCTGGATTTAGTGGAACGGTCACCTCTACTCCTTGTTCTATTTCCTTCTGCCTTGTTTCAAGCTGTGTCTCATGCCTATTGGCTTGAATTTTAACTTAGAAAATATAATTCCTGGTCCAATGGCGGCTTGGTTCTCCACGCGTCCAAACATGTGTTCAAAGCATTTTCTGGGTTGACATTTTTTTACAGCCGAATTTTTTAACATGATAAAGATGCGATGACTTGTTATCTGTCCCACTGCTATTGTAACTGTAGTTTATTTACAAAAAAGCCTCTCTCCATGCTTACACTATTAATAAATAATTCTAGATCAAGCAGACCCGGTCCAAGCAGGGATTCAGAGCCCCAGGTTTTTATTTCGGAGGTATTTTTATATATATATATTTCTTTATTTTTGTTTGTGTTCTTGCTGTTAATTTATTCTCTTATATTGTGTTGTTTTTGTATTATTGTTTTCTTATTATCCATACAATAAAACATTGTGCCATTCTTTTATCATAAACTCAATGATTGAAAAAATGGTTATTATCATTATTATTATTATAATCAATATTATTGATAATGTTATTATCATTATCATCATTTTTATCATTATTTTCATTTTTATCATTAATGTGATTATTATCATTATCTTTAGATATTGATACCATGAATAATGTCATTATCACTATTATAATCATTATTACTTTTATTTTTACCATTTTATTATTATTATTAATATCATTACCAATATTATTAGGAAAGAAGACAGTTTTACTCGAGGGCAATGATAAAAACAACTTTACTCTCTGTCACAATAGGAAAATACTCTAATCTAATCCAAAGTTGTATTATAATATATCCATAGATTAATAACAATAAAAATAGAATACTAGATGTGGTCTTTTTAAGATTTATGAGGCTTTCGTTCACAACAACCCTGAGGCAGTAGCCCAAAGAGGTTACGCGCATGCTATCTCTCTGTCTTGTAATTCAACGCAACAAACACGTAACCTTCAGCTTCTGCCTCAGCGTTATTGTGAACGAAAAACATCGAAATCTTGAAAATCAAATTAAACCAAATCAAATCAAATATTAATTACATGAAGATTTCTAGTTCAGACAATATAAAAATCACAAAAAAGAAATAAAATTCCTCATGAGGGAAAATTAATCTTTGTGGGCCAGGTTTTCATAATTTTCCCTATAAAAAGATTAACGCCAGGGGGGGGGAGATCCTGGACGAGTTGACGAGTAGGTGGGATCCTGAACGAGTGGACGAGTAGGTAGGATCCTGGACGAGTTGACGAGTAGGTGGGATCCTGAACGAGTGGACGAGTAAGTAGGATCTTGGACGAGTGGACGAGTAAGTAGGATCCTGGACGAGTGGACGAGTAAGTAGGATGGCAGGAAAACGTACATAAACATGATACTATAACGAAGTATTACTTAGCTCAATCAAACTTGTACAACAACTAACATTGTCATATTTAACAAGAAGAAAGAAAAAGATTCAAATGTTTGTAGGAAGACATATCCCGTCTGCAATAAAATTCATATAAAAATTAAAATAAAATTCAAGTTTTTAAATTTAGTGAAAAAGTGATATGTACATCTAGTGTTCTATCTGTTTTGTTATTAATCTTTGCATATATGAATATATATGTATATATATATGTATATGTATGTATGTATATGTGTATATATGTATATATATGTATATATATGTATATATATGTATATATCAGTCAAAGGTTTACAGGGTACAGTTTTGAATAGGGGGTGCTTCACTTTAAATGGAGGATAATTTGAAATTACGCTTACTCTTGTACAGTTCCGTTAATATGATTTTTTTTAATAGTTAGGTAACAATTGTTCTATTTTCTGGACATTTCAAAACATTTCTTCCAACCCAAGGTCATTGTTTAACATCTAGAGTTGATATTAAACCATTCGCTAGGACATTTTTTAAGCAAAGGAATTGAGTCTTTGCCACAAGCTTAAATTTTCCATATCTTATATCTTTGCAAAACATCAGGTGGCAAAGTTATAGGGATTGGAAAATCAGAGTTTGTGGCAAAGACTCAATTCCTTTGATTGCAAAAATTTAAATTTTCACAGATTTTTTTGCCTTTTGTCAACCTTTCAAATTACGGGAAATGGTCTATTTTCAAATTCTGTCAAGATAAAACCCTAACCTTGAGATAAGAACAGGGGTTCCTAACAAACTTAAACCGTTAAAAGATAATTTGGCGCATTCGATCGGTTGGACTGATTTCTAGTTTTTATAAAACAAACATATTTTAGAATTAAATAGATTGTATTTTATAGTTGTAATATTCCTGGTCACTAACCTTCCATACATAATTCACGAATTCTTTATTTACGGGGTAAGCTAATTTTTTACATTTTTTCATTTTTTATATTTTGTAGTTTTCTAATCTTACTTTAACGACGAACTCATGGCAAATTTGATCTTTTTAATGAAATATGAATTTTAATGAAATATACATTTTAAGAAGGTACGTTAAGCGTAACCTCCATGCAACGATGGCAATGCCTGATTCACAACGATACCCTTCATACATTTATTTGAGCAAAAAATGTTGAAGATACTGTTTTTTTTGGTTTAAAACTGTTTAATTCCTAAATGTTTCTTACAGTAGAAACGCGCAAACAAGTTTAGTATAGAAACCACAATTGAACATAATCAGTTTTGGAAATTACAAACTTTAATATTTAATTCATACTCAGACTATTAGTTGTTAAGGGCACCTTTGTGAATCGGGTCATGCAATCTTTGGACGGAGAGTCCCTTACAACCACGCTTCAAGTCCCTTTAATATCATTAATGTTATGAAACAAATGTGAAATGAAAATAAACTCCTTACACACTACACAGGCAAAGGTTATAATGCACGGAAAGTTAATTGCAGTTGCGAATACTCTGCGTACATATTGAAACCAGTTCTCTCTGGGCTCAATTTGTAAACAAGAATAATGCATCAGTGATCGTTTGGTATCCGAGGAGGTTAAAAGCATTAAATTTCGATAATTTTGATAAATCACATAATTATAGTTTCCTATGACCAGAATATTTCATTGATTTTTTTATGTGAAAGATGAATCTCATGTCAGGCTTCGACATCCGTCTTGTGTTTACATTACCGCCAAGAGACAGTAAACTGCAGTACAAAAGATGTGTACATCTCTCAAATAACTTTACCTGGATTATAACCTTGACACAGGCAATAAATCAAATAAAAGGTGCAACAGATTTCTTGCCCCAGCTTGTTGTATAAAAATACTCCAAACTTTTTTTTTAAATGGTCATCTTCCCCTTTTTATATATATAATTAAAGACTCTAGAAACCAAATTTTGTACAGTGAGAATCAGAAAACTGTGAAATAGGAAGACGACATTAAAGTAAGGACTATTTAAAGACCATTTAAGATAAGAATTAAATCCAAAAGTCGTCTTCCTATTCCATAGTTTTATGGGTCTCACTGTACAAAACTTGCATTTGTCTTAGTGGTTCGAATCCGGATCTAGATCCATTGGATCCTTAACATTTTTTTTGCTTGGGAGTAAAATATCAACAAAGAAACTGATAAAAGACGAGTCTTAACTGTTAACTAATGAGAATGTATTGAAAATGTCCCTACCTCAGTTTAGTTCATCAGGTTTCGGGAAAAAATTAGCGAAAAAAAGAAAAAGAATTTTTATTTTCATCCTGAAGAAATGTTCATGTCCTGGATCCGGATCCATTTTTATGGCAGATCCAGGATCCAGATCTACATCAAATGAAATGGATTCTTAGCTTTCTGATTTGTCTAATATCTCTAGATATTGAATATTCACTGGTGTACTGAGAACTGGTGTCTCCTTATGAAGGTAATTTGAAATATTTTACTAGCACGAAAATGATATATAATTTTCAAACTCTTAATGAACACAAAGATGCAGGTATTTGAAAAAATATCATGCCTAATTTAACTTTAATTAAAAAATAAATTGTCGAAATCTCAAGGGACTCATGGACTTACTTTAATCACCCATTTATAAAAACTTTGTTTTGAAAGAAAATAAATCGAAATAAGAAACCATTTATATAGAAACTTTGTTTTGAAAGAAAATAAATCCAAATTAGAAAATTAATACTTTGCAGTAAATATAGAAAACACTGTTTAAACCTTACTATTTTTACAATTAGTTTACCCCAGGCTACACATGAGGGTCCACAAAAAATTTAGCCCATTCGGTTCAGCTGTTTGGCCGGCTATATGGAACATATATACGAATGTCTTGTTCTATATAAACATATTAATTTGCTGCCTAAACTCGTACCACATAAATTTCATTATAGAAGGGGATCATTCATTTGGCGTGCTTTCCTGTTTTGACTCATATATAATCTGTATTGTACTGTACAGCTTGATCTATGTGTAAAATTCAACCTGTACTTGAAGTGAACTTTACTGTACTGTGGTACGAAAGAAAGAATTTGAAATAAATAGTTTTATTAAAATAATTATAAGCGAAAGAAACTGAAAAAGACTCAAATGAAAAACAAAACGTGAAACATGCCCAGTCCTATTCTGTTGAAAGCATCAACACTTGAAGTGCTATAGTTTTAATTAGAAGTTACCCTCCATTTAAAGATGGGCATAGGGCTTACCTGATTCACAACTGTACCCTTAATCGGATCAAAAATGTGGAAGCTTAAAAAGCGTGTAATTCTAATCATTTCTACATTGTTATCCTGCATAGAAATGCTCAAGTCACTTTTATGGATAAACCCCAATTGAAAATAATCAGTTTTTAAAATCCTGAACATGAATTTTTAATTCAATTTCGACCAGACAAATCTAGCTTTCAAGGATAGTCCAAGTTTTGGAGAGTCAATTGAAATTATGTTTACAGACCCTTTAATCTTAATAACAAAAAGGTGTAATTGTTCAGGGTATATTTGGAATATCTATCGTCTCGAACTCAGCGCTTAATCCTTTTATATTCCTACTCTTCCACAGTGGTTCATCAAGGTGACACTTTATTATAATGGTACAGTGGTTAAACACGTTTTTAACCTGCATTTTTTGCCTACTAAAGATGAGACTTTAGAGGCAAACTATTAAAAAGATCAACTACTAAAATTTGTCACTCCTGCAGTGCTCGGCCCCGTATTATGTAACAATTATGCAGAAATGTTTTTTTTCTGAAGCTCAACTTTTCGTACAAAGTGCCCCAATAGACATGAGAATTAATTGACGACTTTAATATCTCTTCACGTGGTATTATTTCAATTAGAACACTTTACATTTACGTTGAATAGGTATTGTCTTGGGAGTTCCAAAATGTGGTCTGCCCTTGTTTTACCTTTAAAAAATGGACGGAGATCATAAGTAGTTTGTCCTGATTTAAAAGGGAGTGTTTGCGAAAAAAACGGGTATAGGCTGATATCGAATTTTACTTTTTATGGTTTTTTTATCCGAGAATTATTGTTTCGAGGATTTTTTACAAGTAAGAAGACATTTTCATATCTTCCAGGAATGTTCAAAATCCGGTGCAAGCCTTGAAAACCAGTTGTGGGCGAAATATTGTTTTAAAAAAAAATTACGAAAAATCGACTTTATATACACGAATGGATCTAATTGCATTCGAAAAATGTAGGTTGTAATTGAATTATTGACGATTTTAGTGGAAAAGGCAACTACATAAATTAGTATGATATTGGTAGCTTCACTCTTGGTATGAGCCGTTTTTAACAATTTTCTCCTTATATGCGCAATTTAAATATGTTGATTTTTGAGATACAAAGAAGGTAGACAGCATTTTGAAACTCTCCTTATGATAAATAAAATATTGAAAATTAAAAACGATTTACAAGTTTTCTCTTGTTTATTGGGACACACTGTACTATTAGATTGGACAGCTGCACCTCCCGCTGTTTTCCTGGTTCTAGTCTCATCAGCACCAGGTACTAAATACTTTATCATAAAAATAACTTTTTTAAATTTTGAAAAAGTTTTTTTGCGCAAAAAGATGAAGAAAAAATTTTATTTATATGTGAACATTCCTATTTGTGAAGAGAATCTGAATTAAGCTTTTGCCAATTTCTAAATAGAACAGTATGGATGAGAAACTCTGAAAGGGGGTAAATATATTTCAACATTAGAGTTTGCAAAGTTAAACATTTGAAACATAATAATTAACTGGGATAGTCAACTCATTTTTTTACAATTGTTTTTAATGAATTTTTAGAAATATTTAAAAACAAAATTTTTATGAGTTCTTAAAAATTAATTTGTTAAGATTTCTTTTCGAAATTTTTTCGAAACTAGTTTTTCTCAACAGTAAGTACACTTTGCTCAATTATTCGTTAGGTGTTCTGTTACTGCTGACACATTCTCTTGTTTGGTGTTCTGTTACTGCTGACACATTCTCTTGTTTGGTGTTCTGTTACTGCTGACACATTCTCTTAGTTTCTAAATTGTCAACATATATTAAAGGGACTAAAGTCTTATCTTTTGCCATAAACAACAACGATTCTTGTAATGCTGCAAGGATAAAAAGACCCGGAAATCGTTGTTTGTAAATTGGGAATGAGTGTACCGTAACCTAACAGTGCAATGTAGTAAGTATAATGGGATATATTTAAAATTAAACTGCTCGACTCAAACAAAACCTAATATTTTTTCTTCTTCAGGGTTCAGGGATTCCGAGTGCAGTTTAGGAAATCATCTAAATTAATTAACAAAAAATACGAATAAAAATTATGGCACTTCTGGTTACACCACGCTGATTTAAAAGTTTGGTTTTTGGCCCTGCCAGCTTTGACTTTTAATCGCAATTGGACCAATTAGACATGTACATTTTTCTCTTGTATTCTTTTCGTCGGCGGTTTTAAATCAAGAAGTTTAATTTTATTGAATTATAGACAAAAATTAGTTAAAATGAAAAAAACCGAATGCATTTAGCACGGGTTAGTTCAAGGAGCTACAGGCTACAGCTACCAAACCCTTTATTCAATAAAAAAAGGTTTAGTAAATAATCAAATTAACTATTTAAACATTTTTTTACTTTTAAAACACAAATGGATCGATTGTATAGTGTTCTGCGAAGAAATCAGGACTCAATAACTGTGATGGAGTCAGAACATAACCAAACTCCAATATAAACAAGAAACCCCTGTGTCAAACCAAACTCCAATATAAACAAGAAAACCCTGTGTCAAACTAAACTCCAATATAAACAAGAAACCCCTGTATCAAACTAAACTCCAATATAAACAAGAAAACCCTGTATCAAACTAAACTCCAATATAAACAAGAAAACCCTGTATCAAACTAAACTCCAATATAAACAAGAAAACCCTGTATCAAACTAAACTCCAATATAAAAAAGAAAACCCCGTGTCAAACTAAACTGCAATATAAACAAGAAAACCCTGTATCAAACTAAACTCCAATATAAACAAGAAACCCCTGTTTCAAACTAAACTCCAATATAAACAAGAAAGCCCTGTGTCAAACCAAAGCAAATTTCAAGTAAGAATTAAATCTTACATGTCTTTTAATCATAACTCTATTTATAAAGAAGAAAAATGTTTTGAATTTATAATATGTAACCGATGTCCGAAATTTAATGAATTCAAGCCGCGTCTCAAATCACCCAAAAACCAGTTTCAATTGAGTGCCGTCTTTGGGCTTAAATCTTGAAAAGCTGAATACAATTTTGAGTGGAACAAACCATGATTTGAGCCGCAGCTCAAATTATTTAAATTCGGCCTCGGATTAATCTGCGTTTCCCATACTTCGAGGTCACTATTCGAGGTCAAAACTACGAGGTCAAAAGTTCCTATCCGCGATGTTGCAAAAATATTACCTTCTCCTTCTATTTAGTTTGGTGTGTGTTAAAAAAAAGGTTGTAAAAACGCCGAAAAAGTTCGTGAGAGGGTTCTCAGCTAACCCAGGCTCGTGCTGATAAAAAATTTAACTACTTAAAATTAGGATGTAAGGATGTTTGATTCAAAAGTTCAAGTTTGGAAACAATTTTTTAAAATATGTGTTCTCGAAAATTATTGTAATTTTTGTTGTATATATCGAAATTCATTTTCTTGTTAAATCTTGATCCTTTCCCCTTTCTCTCCTGTTGTAATATAAAATAAGATAATTTAACATGTGCTGGCCCGCTGGGTTGTACTGTAACCCCCCAACCCCCCACCCTCCTACCCTGATTTTCTTCTTTTTTCCTCTATATTTCCTTCTCCTCCCCCTCTCTTTGCTTTCCTTTAGTTCTAACATTTTTTTATTTTATTTTATTTTATTCAAAACAACCAGTAATGGTTAGAGAGGTCCTGCAGGCTAAATTAAACTGTACTATACCTGTAATTTATATTATTAAAATATGTATATTAAAATACCTATATATCTATCGAACCACTTTTCTTAGCGCCGGTTTAAGCTATATAGAGAAATAGTTGAACCACGTCTTAAACCGTGTCTCGCTATTCAATTAAATCTGGTCCCATTGCAGCAAATGAGACTCTTGCAATTGATCATGATTCATCATTGTATTATTGTACATATGAACACACTTTTCTTAACCTATACAATCCAACAAGAGTTTTACAAAAAGTTTTTTTTATTTGTTATGAGTAAGTGTTCAAACATACCGTGCACATTTTCTCCTTTAAAATTCTCATTTTTTAAACAGTTTCTAATATTAATATTGCACTTTTGGATTCAGAATTATCATTTAATCATATGTACAAATTTTATATGTATTATATAGACATTCTCAAACTTTAAACTGTTGTTATAATTACATTGTGTAAAGGAATGTTGACATAATCAATTGAAGGACCCCCCCCACGTTTAAACAGTTGATTGTTAACATAGATTAATTAAAATAACAGATAGAACACTAGATATCGTCTTTTAAAGATTTGGGAGTTTTCGTAGAATTACAAGACAGAGAGAGGGCCCGTACTACACCGACTGCGCGTAACTCATTAAAGCTTTTGACTCAGGGTTATTGTGGACGAAAACCCCTAAATCTTTAAAAAACGACATTTAGTGTTCTATCTGTTATTTTAATTAATCTATGATTGGTAACCTTGTACATGTTGCTGCATTGCAGACAATGTGAAAGTGACGTTCTTTTTTTAACTAAAAAAGCTGCTGAATTCCACCAATTTCAGTTCATTGTCTCTGCAACATCAAATATCCGCAAGTATATATGAAGTTAGAGAAACCAACATTGGAATTTCAATGAATTCCTTCTCTTTTTTTGCCCGAAATCAAGAAAATATTTTTGGGAATCAGTACATAGTGTTAAATTATGTCAATTTTTTTACAGTATAAATTATTTTTGTCTTGAATTTTAAATATATATCTTTACAATAGGTGATATTTTAAATAGATATAGTTAAAGAAGGTAGTGGAGGCAATATTGAATATTATCTATTTATAAATATAACACTTTTTTATATTTTTGTTTTGCAGTGTTTCAAAGTCTTTTTTGTTGACAGACATTTGTTGCGCTAAAGACCTCTATGGAAGATGAAATGGGGGATTTCCCTCGGGGTAAATCTCTGGGTGTCTAAGAATATCAAGAGGATTTCCCCGGGGAGAGCCTAAGTTATCGTCCCAGGGCGTCTATAGATTCATCAAATTCGATTTCCCCACTCTCTCTACTGACCAAATTTTTTTTTTTAGATTCAAACCTTTTTAGATATATTTTTCACGGGCTTCAGCAGATAATACAAGACTATACATAATTATGGACAAACTAAAGATGGTCACAAAGTACTTCCAGGAACTACAATTATATATTTATATAATTATACAATTTTAGGACTAACCAGACCTACAATTAAGGAACTATATATAGTGGACGAAACAAATATGAATTACCAAAAAATGCTGTAGACTTTAATAGGGGACCTTATACACTAGTGAATATGTCTAAGCCAGGGACTAATAGACACTATAAGAAATATATAAAAAGACACTAGAATACTGAAGAACTGTCATTTCTGGCGCTTCGCGCACACATTCAACGAATTATATCATGTCAAATTTATTTTATAGCTGCTGAAGAAACAAGTATAAAACAGGGGGCTGAAGCGTCATGTGTGTGTGTCACCAAAAGAGTGTAAAGTTTACCGAACTCAAAGGCGTGTTCTGTAGGTATATATACAGTATAAGGTATTTGTACAGTCTAGGAGAGTACATTTGTTTATTGTTAATTGTTTATAAGTTTAATATACATGTAGTATATTATTTATATATTTAAGTAAACACTTTAAGCCAAATTTTCATGCAGAGAATATAATTTGATTAAAATTTAAATAAACTAATCGTTATTCAAGCTTAATTATAATTGACGACATTGTTCTGCAATTTCCTTGACTGCATGTTGTGTGTCTGTACCAAAAGAGTGTGTGCAAGGTTTACTGAACCTGCAAAGCAGTGCGACTGGCTTTCTCATGCCAGACCAGCGCCATTTCCCTTCCCAATTTATTCCTATTCCCTGGTATAAAAGTGAAAGGATTAGTAAAACTAAGTCTAAATAGGCAGTTTAAATTCTGTACAATACAGTAGAAACGTAACATTTTAAAAATAATAAGATTTAAAACGTTATGTTCTTTGTCTTTCCACAATCAAATGTTGTTCAGGAAATTAAATGTAACGAAGATTTTGGGCTGGGCTTTGTAATTCCTGAAATTGATTTACATGAAAGACGACATTTATTCTCTTACCTCATACACAGCCTCGGATCAGCTGTTCAAATCCTCTAAATTCTCTGCAACAGTAACCGAGATTCGAGAAGGCAGCTGTTTACCAACAAAACTAAATAAAATTGTAATTATCTTAAAACACAATCCTAGGGGACTACATTCATTTTTAAAGCAATAAAGACTTAAAACAACTTGTTATGGAGCTATATAGATAGTCCAATTTTAATTAAATGACCATGGTTTTGATAAATTAACGAATACAAATGTTCTATCTTAGCATAGTAAATGAATCATATAAATAAATTGAAATATAACCATAAAGTTATAAATTGCATTGGCATTAGGCTTTTTACTCATATTTGGAAATAATATACAACAAGTTCTTTTAAAAGATTGTTCAAATCAAATCAATAACAAAAACGGATTTTAATCAAATTTATCAAGTTCTGAAGTAATTTTGTTTCAGTTTCAGACAAAAAGTATTCCGTCTAAGGCAAGGATTTTTTACCAAAAAAAATGTTATACTTTATGCAGGGTGTCCTCCTAGAAATAAAATCAAAAGATGCCTTTAATATCGTCTTTTAAAAATTTGAATTAAATTCTGCTGAAAACAGGATAATCGGTGGATGTTGGACTGCTCCAACAGAGATAAGAAAATGGCAACTGGTGGAGATCTTCTTGGGGTAAGAAAAGAAAATATAAATTTTGAAGTTATTTTGTTTTGTCCTTTACTAATTATTTATCTTTCATTTTAGGCTGTAGGTGGGGCTGATGAGACACAACAGGAAACAGTGCAAGGTATAATTTTGCTCTTACTTTGCTCTTGCTTTGCTCTATTTTTGCTCTATTTTTGCTCTTGCTTTGCTCTTGCTTTGCTCTTTCTTTGCTCTTTCTTTGCTCTAGCTTTGCTCTAATTTGCTTTTGCTTTGCTTTGCTCTTGCTTTGCTGTCGCTTTGCTTTTGCTTTGCTCTTGCTTTGTTCTTACTTTGCTCTTACTTTGCTCTTGCTTTGCTCTTGCTTTGCTCTTGCTTTGCTCTTGCTTTGCTCTTGCTTTGCTCTTGATTTGCTCTTGCTTTGCTCTTGCTTTGCTTTTGCTTTGCTTTTGCTTTAATCTTGCTTTGCCCTTGCTTGCTTTTGCTTTGCTTTTGCTTTAATCTTGCTTTTCCCTTGCTTGCTCTTGCTTTGCTCTTGCTTTGCTCATTTTATGTATACAATGTCCTTTAGGTCTGCAGTATGAGATTGAAGTGTTGAAATCAAGAATCAGCCAAGAGAGGGAGAAACTAAGGGTAAGAGAATATATGAATTCTAAGTTTCTTATTTATTCTAAATTGTGTGCAGAGGCGTAGCAGATGACTAAATTGTGATCATATTAATTCCAGTTTTGTTTCATAGCAAAATTTAAATATTATTACCGTTAAATTTTTTATTTTTAGTTTTCTTTATCAGAGGGGAAAATTAATATATTTTGGGAAGAATCTTGGGGGAAATGTGAAAGGATGGAATATTGGGAAGGAGGAGATGGGATTTAATGGGAGAAATTTAAAAGCATAGAGAAAGAAGGGACGAATGAGAGCAAGTGGGTGGAAATTGTGAAAAGGGAAGAAATTGGATAATATGGAAGAAATTGAGAATAAAGATGAATACTGAATATTGAGAAAGAATGGAGAAAATGAAAAAGAAAGGAGGATGAAAAATACGAGATCCTGACAGAATGATGATTGATGAAAAATTTGTTGTTTAGGATAAGAACCTCCCCCAGGTGGCTGATCTTGCCAACGTGATGTCCATTGAGCAGCTTAACATCAAGATCAGGAGAAGCCTCAAAGGACACAATTCAAAGGTGACAGAATAGTTTTTCAATTATTCGCATATTTTATGTTTTATTTTAACCCGTTGTTGCCTTGATATTAAGTTTTTTTTTATCAAGATCAAGATCAAGAGAATTCTCAAAGGTTACAGAAATATTGAACTTTTCAAATCTATTAATTGATGTTTTATTTGAACTATTTGCGCTGGTATTTCTGTAATACTTAATTCTTAATTGTTCAAAATCGAGATTAGCAAAAGTCTCAAAGGACGGAATTCAAAGCTTAGGTTACAGAGAAAAAAAAACTTTATCGAATGTTCAACCAATTATTAGATTCATAATCTTTGCGCTGATATTGCTATACACTAAAATATTTAACGACAAAGACTTTCAAAAAAAATATTTAAATTGAACAAAGATCGAAAAACTCTGCGAAATTTGATAGGCTTAATTGTAATCCTAAATTAAAAATAAATTAAGTCATTATGTGTATTTCAATCCCTTTAAAGATTTAAATCTTAGCCCATGTAAAAAATGGAAATAATGTAGATGCAGATTAAGAGTCGTGTTCTGAATAAATTCAATCTTTATTTGGATCCGGATCTGGAGATCCAGAGATTTGGATCCTGGAGTTCAGTCCTGTAAAAAATGGATCCGGATTCAGCTCAAACATTTTTACAAAAGTGATCTTATTTCTTTCTTGTCTGATTCTTTTATTCTTTATTTTATTTGTCAATAGCCCTAAGTTTGACTATAGATTTTTGACAAGTTTTTGATCGCTGTTAACATTTATTTTCAATTATTTTGTAAATGACACTGTGGTAGGCGTTTTTATCAATACAATGATATTTTATTTAAGTTTTGATTTCTCACAAGCTTTTTTATGTTACAAGGAAACAAAGAGAAGCTGTTTTCCAATATCCATGCTGTTTTAAAGCTTGGTAAAAATTAAAAATTGAAATCAAAAGTCGTTTTCATAGTGTTGATATATAGAATGACGACTATATTTCCTAGGTTTTGTGCTTGGATTGGTCCGGGGATAAGCGCCATCTAGTTTCTAGCTCGCAGGACGGCAAAATCATTATTTGGGTAGGTTTATGCCAGGGGCCCAGTATATGTTCCAATGGAGGGTAAATAAATCTGGACTTTTCATGTTGACATCAGCATGTCGTAGACTAAAGGTTTGTACACTGTACATGTCCAAATTTATAGCTGGACACTTACAATTGTTTTCTAATGCATGACATTATTACAATATAGACAAGGGCGTATACAGGGTGGGGGAAAGGGGGGCAGTGCCCCACCCTAGACCTGTAAAGACGCCCCCTCTAGAACTCAGAGCTTTCACACTTTTCAAATCTTAAACTGGAGAGTGAAGAACATAAAAAAATTTGTTTGCTGTTCAATCAGTGCTCTAAGAAGATTGTATATGTGAACCAGAGGCACTATGACATCAGAAGTCCGAATGAAAAATCTATTTAGAATGCACATACAGGGTGTCCCACGAAACATGACAGTTTGCAGGACGACTTGAATGTCGTCTTGATTTTTGATAAAATTTGCTGCGTTTATTTGTCAACCTAATTTTAGAAGTAAATTTCTAGAGATAATAATCACAAAATTTCCCTTGTCCTGCCATTTCCAAAATGTGGTCTGCCTTTTTTTTGCTTTTAATATTGCCCGAGATATGAAGAATTTCGTTCAGATTTCGACAATTTTGCTTTTATTTAACAAAATTGAAATCTGAACCAAACTCTTTATATCTCAGGTAATATTGAAAGCACAAAAAACGCAGACCACTTTTTGGAAATGCCAGGGCTAGGAGAATTATGTGATAATTGTTTCAAGAATCATACATGTTAAAGTAGATAGAAGACTAAATGTCACAAATAAATTCAAATACCAAAGACGACTTTCAAGTCGTCTTCCTATTGTCATGTTTCGTGGGACACCCTGTACATCCTATCAAGATAGCGAAGTAGAACAATTATTTTTAAATGCATAGCCACAAAGGCTTGAGTTTGGACTGGAGGTAGTAAAAGACCATTTTTTTAAAATTTGGTTTTAATTTACTTTATTCATTGCACCGCCGTTTTGTAATCTTTCTTTTTATCACAAACTAGCTGATGTGCCCGGTGTTGCCCGTGGAATTTAAAAAATCGAATTAAAACAAAAAATTATAATTTATTTAGCTTTTGTCATCCCCAACTTCCCAAGGGAACCCAGGAGTTTCCTCACTAAAATTAAGCCCATTTAATTCAGTAGTTTGTCCTGCCAGAGCACACATATAAATGATGAACGAAGAGCTTTATTAAATAGATTACACTTGTTTGTACTCATACTTTTATTATTATTTTCTGGACCTTTGTCCTTTTTTCATCTCATAGAATTTAAGTTTAAGTTGAGTTTTTCATTTTCAAAAATGTGTTTTACTATGTCTGTTTAAATACTGATTTTTTTCAGTATCCACCCATGATTATAGATCATGGCCTTGCATAATACATATAGTGTAATACTAAAATATTCAGCACGATCCCGGTATACACATTAGTAAAGGATTAGTGTAAATTAGCACTCGTTACACTATAATCTCGTTGGTGTATGCACAGGGCAGTAGCAATCGGAGAACAGTGGACCAATTGATTGTTAATTTTCTTCTTTTAGTTCTGTCAATATTATGTAATGTACAGTTACCAAGTCAGTAATTTGTAATGTAATATGGAAAGTTTTAGAAAAAATCAGTTCAGTGAAAATAATCAGAAATAAAAAAATCTCAGAAAAAAAATATAATTTGTATTTGAGATTATGATTAAAATTTACAGTTTCGTGTACAAGTGTACAGCATATAGTGTGTAATATCGATATGATGGCCGATATTTGTCCTTGTTTTAGAAAACTGATGTTGCAAAACATTTATTAATTGGTTTATTTTACTATTCCATCTATTTTAGGATGCGTTTACAACAAACAAGGAGCATGCACTCTCCCTACCCACTACCTGGGTCATGGCATGCGCATACTCACCTAGCGGTCAGGTATACCTAGAATTAACCAAGTATCCATAAGGTATCTCCGCAAAGATATTTTAAATATACAAACAATTTTGTAAATGAATGAAATTTTTCGTAAACAATATGGTGTCGTTCCCAAATATTAACGAACAATAAACGACCGAATTGGATCATTCAGAGAAAATAAAAACGATCATTTTTTAAAAACCAACAAAACAAAATAAATGAACAATCTTTAAATCGTACACGATCCTTCGCATTTTATGGATCAGTCAGCCCGTTAATGAATCTAAATTAATCGTTCAAATGAACTTGAAAAAATTATTGTTTTTTTTTACTGAACGAACAAAGTTTTAGAGCGAACTTTAATAAAATTGTTTTTTACTGAAAAAAAAACAATCTTATTAATTGAATGATTTTACTGAACGAATGATTTTACTGAATAAACGATCTTACTGTACAAAGATTCAATTAAACGCATGGTTCAGCTAGAAAATGGACAAAATAGATGGAAAATGAAAGATAATCATGAAAATAAACATATTTAAAATTTATCTGAACGACGGAAAGAAACCCAAACAAAGAATACTTAATTAAAAAAATCTTTACCAACAATCCCTGTTAATAAATATTTGTTCAGGCTGTTGCGTGCGGAGGCTTGGATAACAAACTAACCGTTTTCCCTCTGGCAATAGAAGAAGATGCTACTGGAAGGAAGAAGGTTGTTGGAACACATACGTCTTACACTTCATGCTGTCTCTTCCCGGGATCAGATAATCAGGTTTATAAATATTTTCTAGATTTACAATTTATGGATATTAAAAGAAACTTTTAAATGGATTTATGAATCAGAAAAAATTAAAAGGTAAGAAGTTAAAACTACTCTTAAAAACCTCCGAAAAGACGCTCTTAAATTTTAACCACCAAGTAATCAATTAACTCACATCAGCATGGTACATTTTGAAAGGCACTCTAAATTACCAAATAAAAATATCATTTGTTTGGCAGCAAAAATTGGATGGCTGCCGAATAAGCTACAAAAAATCGCTTATTTGGCATTGGTAGCACGAGTTTGATGACTGCCAAATAGGCGTTTTTTGTTGAATATAAGCAATTTTTTGAATATAGCTATTTTTTCATTCGTAATTTAGAGTGGAGGAAATCTAATGAGTTCAAATCCAAAATAAAGTAGTTGTAGTCAAGGTAAAGTAGTTAAGCTAAGTAGCTTATCTGCAATTCAAAAAAGTTACAAATTGAGAAATGCATGCGTTGTTTTGAAAATGAAGTAACAGTACCTTTCTGGTAAATGATTAGGGTGAAGCAATTGACTATACCAAAATTAACATAAGTGTAATCAACCCTGTCTTATATCATTTATAAGAGTTATTAAGATCCAAACCAAATATATTTTTATTATCCCCTGCACAGTTATGTATACACTGTACAGGGATAAGCAATAGCAAATACGAGACTAATTTGTAATACTAGGAACTGAATTCATACAATATATATGGTTATGATAAAAATTAATTCTAAAATTTTCTATCGATAATAAATATGTGTATGTATTAAAAGTAAAATTTGTTTAAAAATTGATTTCAACATACGTCATGAAGATTTAGTACTATTGTCACTGAATTGTTATGCTTATCAGAACTACTTGCATGGGCACTCGGGTAGCTGTATGTATAAAATGCCTTATTTTTCACATTAGCTTTATGTGAGGTAAATAGAAGGTAGTAAAAGTAGTAATAATTTAAATTTTAAAAATAAAGATGTGTATTGATTTGTATATAAATGGTAGAACTCAGGGTAGTGGGGAATTGAAAATAAATTCTTGAATAAATGTTGATAAAAAAGTTTCAACTTGTCGGTGGTAGTGAGGGTAGTGGGGAATTGAAAAATAAAT